GCTCTTCATTTTCATTCTTGTTTATTTGTGTAAGCTCTCTTTAAAAAGTTAGAAGCATCTAACCTTCATTGGCCACGCATCAGAGCGTAGGTGCTGTCCACTTGGCCATGTGGCACAGTAGCATACCAGTGAACTGTTTTAACACCTTAACGCAGCAGTTATTCAAACCACTAAGGAAAAGACTAATAGGCTAGTAACATTGTTTAAAGAAAGGGAATAATTTTGCAATGCTACAAAATTCAAACAGCCTCAAGGAGTTCATAAATATATTAACAACACAGCCACTTAAGTGTCAATTGCAAGATGTTCTGAGGTACTGTTTAGACACCGAAATTCATGGCTCTGGTTGGACTGCTAACAGTTTACAAAAAGAGGTGTTTTAACATCATTTTTGATCTAAGAAACTCGTGTGCCCACCTCTTTTAAATATAAATCTTGGGCATTCGCATGTTCAAGAGAAACAAGATGCTGTACGGGGCCCGAGGTCCTCACGGCAAAGCTGCCGGTCTTCTCGGTCGTAAAGCTGTGCGGATGCACAGGTAGACACCAATGCACTTTTGAAACACATACCAATTTATTTTGTCTACTCAAAATACATAAAACGAATTTAAGATCCAAAATCAGTGCATAAACTCTACCTCAAAACTTTCATGGAGCAGCTACAGAAGTGTCTGGTACTGCCCAGGGCATGCAGTAATCAAAATCATTCCAGCAAGAAAAGCAGAAATAAATTCAAAAGAATTTCTGTTGACCTTCAACAAAATCCTAAGTCTTGGTCTGATCCGAATCAAGAAGAACTGCTTGAGCTATCGAGATGTTCTGCACAATTCCTAATTAAGAAATTATTTCTGGTTACCCAACATTTCATAACACAAGGCGGCAAAAATAATGTACCAAAGACACCGACTGTGATTTGCTGCGCGCTGACACTTGATAAGGACTTGAACATATTTGTTCTAGTGGTTTCTTACTTTAGTAAAAATGTTACAAATATATAAAGTGGAATTAAATTACCGTCATCTCTTACTTACACATAAAATCTGAAAACGTACATACAAAATTTTGCAGTACCATTAAAGACTTCAGAGCTGTGAGATTAAATGATCTTATTTTCTACACTCAATGGATAATAAATTATGTAATATGAGGTTACTCGGAGGTTTTATGTCAATTCTCTTTTGTACCAACTCTTGCAAATAAAAAGCCCACCCAAAACAATAAATGAGATGTCACAATTCTAACAAAAGCTCACGAGAAGTTTCTTTAAAAATCTTTCACCCCTGGAGCCCCTCTACCAGTTCCTGATGAAGAGAGCCAGCTTGATCCAAAGCAACAATGACATGAGCTTCCAAAGAAGCCATTTTACCATTTATTCATTATTCTGCACGAAAATTCTTTGCGTATTTCCCCATTACTGAAATACCTGCATTCTTTCGCTATACCAAAAGCATAATGTGACACGACACTACAAGTCACTCCACTCTTCTAGGATGTAAATTTGAAAACAAAAAATATTTCACTTGTATTTGTCCATCATTCCGTACGCAAGCTTTCGTTCCCACTTCCTTTTGCAATTTTAATCTTTAAACATTGCCACCAAAGAGTCTCTGATCAACTTTCGGGCCCTTGCCAAGTCTAGACTCCACTTCTGACATGAAAACACTCACGGGGCAGATTCTGTCGGTACCCACAGCGACTGTGAAGATGATGGCCAGCAAAAAGGGACCTACAGTTTAACATGGACTATGGCAGACTTCACTTCCTCAAAGTTTTAAACTTAAACAATTAACATTCTTGTTACAAAAATCAGATAAAATATATCCGTGAATAACGCCTTTACTTAACAAGAGGAAGATATTCTACCAGTGGCAGGCACGATTCACTGCAAGAGATATTCATAAACATTTTTACAACAGTCTTTTATTCCAAAAACTATAACACATTGACACCGCCCATTATGTTCACGGGCCGATTTTTGTACCGCTTGGAAACGTCGCGTTCGATCTGCAAAGAAGACAGATTACTGTAATAAACAAACTCTGATTTCAATACACATACATCACTTGACTGCTTTTGGTTATATGAAGAGCACTCACCAGAGGCGCAAGAAAGACAATAGACTGCGCGTCCTTACTGCGGTTAATACGACTTAACTTTCCTTCCACTTGAATTCACCTTTTTCGTTCAACACAACATGTCTAGTACTTAAACTGTTATGCTTGCATAATAATCATTCTGTTCACTTCCATGTTTTCTGGGATCGAGAGAGAGAATCTGCATTACTCTCACTCTTTTATCACCGCTCAGCATAAGCCGCCTTGTCAAGAGGTTAAATGATCAGATTTCAAACTATGACATTCTGATTAAATGAGCCCCTTCGGGGGCTGCCACCCTTTCTGTAACTCCAATCATCCGCAGAACCTCATTTCTGATCACTGTAGTGGATACAGTGAAGCTGCTTCTGTGCTATAAAACTATCATAAAATGAATCTGGATTTTCTTATCAAAGTCTACTCGTAAGTGCAATTCAGTGTCTTTAGTTACGGTTCACACATTTCGTTTCTGTGCGGACATTTGAACATCACATCAGTTTGCATATTACTTAATTCAAGATGGTACAGAGTCTGATAAAAAAAAACAAGTAAACAGGAGAAGTTCTAGAGGAACGTTAACTATCTGTGCTTATTTATGGAGTGACAGTGACAACTGATGCAGTGGTAGGGGCGACGGGGGGGGAGACACGGAGCATCACCATGACCACTCCTGTTGCAAGAACACAGAATGCAACAAGACTTGTTCTGCGTAAGCCTTCAAAACAGACAGATCCGAGCGATCCAGCCGTCTCAATGGACGCAACATCCCAGTATTCTGTCTAACACGGAGACTGGAATCAAGGAGTCGTACTCCTTTCAACTTTAATGGGATATAACCCCCAAAAGCGATATTTCACCAGCGGTTAGAAACCGAACAGCAAGTCTGTCACCACTGGCACCTGCAACTTTATGCTCCTACCACGGAAAATAGGGCCGCAAGGGACTTGTGGTTGATTACATCGCAGTTCCTGTCAATGGCCACACAGACATCCCAGGACAGTGAGAAGAGTCCGGTCAACCTTCAAAACTACTCGGAAGTCAAGCCAACAAGACTCTTCTTCTGCTGGCAAGGAAAGAGTCTAACAAATTGAGTGGCCCTTAATAACTAAGAAATATACAAAACCTAGCAGGGGAAGAACTGATGTAATGAACAAATCCAGATCAGATTAGCGAATGGTGATTATGGGATGATGTGGTTACGTTCCGCGCACAAAGGCGGCCATTAAAGATAAAAGATGAATACAGTGATGGCACTGACGAAACCTGAAAATGGTAGAAGGTGAGGAGATGGAAAAGAAGAGTTCAGAACTCTCTTTTCATCTTCGTCAGGATGTGGACCGACCTACGTCAACAAGTTGCTGCTTTCAAAACGACCAACCCATTTACTCCCACAATAACCTGAACTGGTATGAAACGCAGCATCACAAGATTCTCATCCCACCTCTCCTTGAAGTTCCTTGGTCTTTGAAATGATCAGTTTCAGCTTTTGTTGTAAAATCTTTGACTCCTTTCTTGCTTCTACTCTTAGTTGCCTCACTACTTCTTGGGATGCCACCATTTTGTCTGCTACATCCAGCTTCTGCTTGAGAGAGTCTGCCAAGTGGTCAACATACCTGAAACAATTTATGTTTATGTAAGACTTGAGGTTCTCACAGCGGTGAGTATGAAGATATCCGTCTTCTGGGTTATTGCGCTGTGTAGTCTGGTCGATGTTAACCAATGTTTCAGAGGTCATACTGCCTCCGTCATCAGGGCGATGAATGAAAATTTATGTTTAGAACGAGGCAAACAAGAGCTACAAATTAATTAATCCTGTTCTGTATGTACTTTCCTCTATAAAAACTTGTTTGACAGAGTCAAGTCTCAGCGCAATAAGTATTTATACACCGACAAATTCTATTCATTACAGTAAAATTTTGCTATAATCAAAGGCAATGAAAAGAAATGCATAACTTAATATTTATTGTTTCCACAAGGGTCAAAGCACATTTTTAAATAAGAGACACATCAACCATTTGTACTGATAATGGTGAGTGCAAGACAATTACACATAAGTCACACTAATATAAAATAAATTAGAATGATTTAACCCTTCAAGCTAACAAAAAGTGATACTCATCAGAAACCTATCACCACACAAAATTTAAGGACCCTACATCAAGCGACACTCCCGCCTCGGTTCCGACGGCCACAAGCCAGACTGCTATTACTGGTGGCGTGGATGGCTGGCCTCAAGTGGCGTGATGCTCATACGAAGCTACTCGAGAATCTTACAGAATTACTTGGGGAAACAGACACAACGCACACGAAATAAAGAAAACAGGCAAAAAGTATACCTAGGTGAATGTTTGATATTATGCAGGTGCTGTGTTCTTGAATCCGTGATCTCACTGATTACAACGTGGACCTGATTCAGCATGGCTGAGACGCTTTCTGTAGTCTGAAGCTGGATAACAGCAGGCCCACCCTGCAGCTGACTCAATGTCAGTACGTTGCTCGGTCCATTCATCTCAAACAGGCGAACCTTCAGAAACGATTCCAACTGCAAAATGCGGCAGTAGTTAGAGAACTGCTTCAATCTTGTATGAATTTCACAGTGAAAAGATAAAAAAAAATCCTGTTTTACATCTTTATATTTATCTCTTGCATTAACGTAGCCTCTGTGTAAGTTGTAAATAAATCTAATCTTTAGTTTCCAAAGTTCCTCCACATTACTAATCTACTAAGCTACTGAAAGTAAACATAAATCACCAGGTACGTTCCAAATACACTGAATGGTTGTGGGGCAAGGGACAGAACTGTTCGTTCAACAGAACATGTCGCTGTGCCGACGGACCATTCTGTCAGCCACGATCTTCTCACGGCCTTTGTCAAAACTGACAAAATTTGAGCATGACTAAATCACAGATGACTGACAAAGTAGAAATGTTTTAGGAATAAGAATAAAATTAATCCAAGTAACAGGTAAATATCACATTCTGAGACCCACTAATGCATAACATTATTTGGAATGAAGAATAACCAAAAAACAGGAAAAATTTATTGGTATAAATATATATGAAAAGAACTGCGGAGGAGGAACACGCCCAAAAAGGAACGATCGAGATGGATAGGCAGACAGGCTGCATCACACTTACTGGGAACTCACAACAAAACAACACATACTGCGCTTTCTTCATACCTCCATCAGCTCATTGATGAATGTGTTCCTTGTCTCAAGATTATCCAAGATGGTAAGGGCCTCCTTGTCTCTAGCAACTCCGCCTTCAGTCCCCGAAGACTGTACCACAATTCCAGACTCCTGTAGCAAAGTGTTAAAATCAATCTAGATAAAGACAGAATCTAAACGAATGCTTACTATTTTAATACTACTTACTTGTACTGGTTTCACAAATCACCCACATTTGTACGCTTATGTTCCTTGTATAATTTTCAGTTTATCTGGCATGACCCCGGACAGTCGATAACTGCCGGTTTCTGACAGTTCCCGGCATTCTGGAGACGTTCACAAATGATTGTCAACCACGATGACACAAGCTTTACATGAGCAGACACTTGAATGCTGGGCTACAGCAAGTATTAAGTGAGAAACAAATTTAACATCAAAAAATGAGTGACATTCAGTTACACATACTCAAATTTTGACCACATCTATAATTCTGGAGAATTCTTAAGAAGGTGCACAAAGTAACAAATCCGGCATTAAGAATGCTTGGCAAAGTGACCACGTGAAAAATTCAGCTGAGAGGAGTTTACAGTAACACATTTTGTTGAATAAAGCAGTGTATGATAAAGCGTGCTACAGATCAGTAAAGCTGTTCTGCTACACACCACACAGGCGCTCGGGGGGAGAGACAGCATAGCTCCTACTCATTCTTAACCTTCGCACTGGATAAGGTACGTGGTCAGCATCATGTCCTGGGAAAGGACCCCGGTACCCACTGGATAGGAGGCTGGGTGGGCCCCAGGGCCGGTCTGGACGCAGAGGCTACAGGAGAAATCCTCTGCCCTCGTCGGGGATCGAACCCCAGTCATCCAGTCCATTGTCACTTACTGTACTGACTGAGCTACACAGACGAAGAATGAAGACAAAAAAGGAAAGCGTGCCAAATAAATAGGGACAAGGCATCAGAGGGAATATCTGAAAGCCAATTTAAGTAGGATGAAAAGAGATTTTGCTTCTTGGTTAAAATACGCAGGCCCTTATAGAATTTTACTCCTGATTCCCAGACATCGCTTTGCTTTTCTTCTGCCACCCCCAGTTTCTAAGATGTACAAGCATTTTCATTGTCTTTATAAAGAAAGTTTTGTGAATGAGTACATTTTGTTAAATGAAGAATTTTCATTATAGCAAAAGTTTTGTTTTGTTGGTGCCCTGCACATAATACTGCTATCCTCAGTGTAACGTAAACGTATGCACTTCTGATAAAGAATGACGGGCAATTCCCATCACACTGTAAAAATGTATACAGTTACAGCCATTTATGGTACTAAGTGAGACCGCATATTTTATCCTAAAAGGATGTTTGTCGTGCCTTGGAAGCACACTAACCACTAGACACGAATAAATAATAACGTACATTCAAATCAATAGGAAGACAGAAAGTACGACACACATCATACACGTCTATTTTCATACACGGAAGGAAAAGAACTGAAATAAACAGAAGTATGAAAACAATCCAAGAATTTAGTGCATATTTCCCCATACAAAGTTTACTGAAATCAATAATGTATCTGCAAATCAAGCAAGGAAGCCAGAACAAATCTGATACAAGTAAGAATGTGTGTCTGACAAGTGGAATATTATCCCATGTTTTACATGTATTTTTAAATTTTCAGTAAAACATACAGGGGCACAAGAAATAATTCTGTTTGGCTGACGATGGACTTGGCCAATCCTGAAATCAACATACCTCATTTCCTGTCTCTGCAGGTGATTCAACACGACTGATACCCCAGTCAATATCACCCTCTTCTATCGTGATCCCACTGAAGTCAATTTGAAGATCAGTGCCACTGTCAATATTTCCGCCGCCATCTCCGAAATCAATCTGAAAGAATCATTCACAAACCAAAAGCACAGCGATATAAAAATTAAGCTCCTTTTAATCTTTTATCAAAACAGTGACGGAAAAATTCCAGAAGCTGTGGGCGCAAAAAATCTCAACCAGTAAAGTAAAGAAAAGCTGTCGCGCTACGCGCAACGTAGGAGCTACAGGAGAGAAGGTGAGCTCCTACTCACTCTTAACCTCAGCACTAGATGGTGGTGAGTGGTCAGTGTCATGCCCCGGCTGCATTTTACCCCAGGGAAAGTATCCCAGTGCCCACTGGACAGGAAGCTGAATGCAGACAGTAGAAAATAAGCCCTCTGCCCCTATCGGGGACCAAATCCCGGTCATCCGGTCTACAGCCAGTCACGATACTGCCTGAGCTACCGCAGCTCCACTTTCAATCAGACAAGACCAAAATGTCAAGAAGAAGGAATAAGATTTGTTATGCAATCAAATTCTAGCACAACGATAAAAATTAGCAATCTTCCGACAGGATCTACAAAGAATCCAAATCTATGTTCACACTGATCCATAAATAATAATAATAATACTCAATCTTTTGTGATTTCTAATATTTTTATCTTCACTTTTATCATTTCACTAGCAATAAAATTTGTTAGCATTTTAACTTTTATTTGTAAGTACTGATTCATAAAATCTCATTAATTATGTATTTTAGCCAATCTTTGATGTTCAGTATATCCACACGCCTGATAATGGCAAAGATGCCAAAACATGCAGTGTGTAATTGCAATAAGTTCCTTCTTTAGTGATGTTGACAGCACTTAAAGCCTGTGTTGTAAACAACAGGATGCCACTGACCACGCAGCAAAATATGTCGTAACAAACTTACTGCAAATATCTAAACTAAATCAATTTTGTTTTCTTTGAATAATGACCCGACATGTAACCGGAAACCGAACATCCATAAAATTACACGATATTTTTTGGTCCGAGAGGCACGCGTTGTTTACAGCTGATAAATCTCTCAATGACATTTCTACAAGCATATTTGGTCAGAGAATGGAGAATGGAAGTTCAATATTACCAGAACTCAAGGTTCAAAAGAAGTAACCTGAATCATCAATCTTAAGATAATGCAGCCAACATAATTGCAGTTGGAGATCAAACACAGGTGAAACAACTTTCAACTTTGAAAAAAAAAATATATATAAGCAGTTGAATTACAAAATATAGTTTCTCCTAAGTTGTACACTCACCACCGGATACAACACGTATGTCTGATATGCTAGTTCCTCGTCATCCAACATGCCTCGCACGACTGTTACAGACATGTGACAAGATCCCTATCATTGAAAACAGATTCTGTAAAGACCGTCAGTCACAACTACACTTAATAAGATCATAATCAGAATACTGTTAAAATAGTTCACACTCTTGTCTGTATTTTCACAAATTTCCATTTACAGGCTGGAAAAATAGACAAATCAATTCATAAAAAATAAACAGGATTATATATATTACTTTTGAACAATATTTTAATTATGATTTTAGCACGTACACATAAAAGTTGGAGATACATCGATAAGCGGTCATAAAACAATAGTAACATTAGGACAGAAATATTTATTACGTGGGTCCCTGAATACATCTACTCAGACGGTGACAAAGCACGTTGAGTGAAGTGAATAAATTGCGATTTAGAAAATCAAATGTACATGTTGTATCTGATGGTTCTTGCATTTGTACTTCGTAGTCTTCACTAATTATTAGGGCGACCTGATCAAAGGATAATGAACTGTGCAGGTTGCATAACAGGAGAGCAAAAAAAGATAAAGAGATAAACAATGAACACAGAAAACCTGAAGGCAAGCAACTTGGGAGACACGGGAATAAATGGAAGCATAATATTAAAATGGATCTTAATGAAACTGAGTGTAATAATTTAGACTGGCTGTCAGTTTCATCTTCAAATTTAATGTTCAGTTCTTCAATCTTTAGAGGTGGTTCTCCATACTTCCACTGATAAGTCGTCGTATTGCCATGCTCTGCGGGTCCAAATATTAATAAAATTAGCAGCAATGTTTACAGACTTGCAATAACGAATCAAAAACGTTTCTCACGAAAGACAATTTTACACGTAACTTAGCGTTGACAATATCTAGTGACTTCCTTTGTACAGTGACCAGTGCAGGACAATTTGTTTAACACGGCACATTTTCAACAAAATGGAGATAAACCAAAACACTCTTGACAGATTCGTCAGTTCCAGTGCAAAGTCAAGCCTCACGTTAACTGAAAATCTTTGGTGGAAGCTGGATTCACTTCAACATAAACTCATTCACTGAAAGTTATTTTTGGATATTATTTCGAAAATGAAACATTTGCGACCCCATGTTCATAGAAACATTTCTTTCTTATTTTTGATCCTCGAACACGCACACAGAGTTTGTAAACATACTTTTGACTCATCCTGTATAATACCACACACATACTATGCAAGCATTACGTAAACACTGTCCACAGAAGTTTTGAAACAGGTCATAGACAATGTAAAACATATACATACCTTTTTTTTTTTAAAGATAATTCTTTAACTCTTATCTATGTATCTTCTTATTTACACAACAAAGTGGAGTTAATTTTACTATTACAAAAAATAACTAAAATTATAAATTTCACGCATAAGGCCAACAGGATGCATTTTAATTACTAAGTACACGCTGTCTTAATTCTGCACTCTGACTGTATAATAGACCTTGGTATGTTAGACGGTAAAGTGTATTTCCACTGTCATGTTGAGTTTGTATATTCTCAAGCACTAATAAATAACATTAGTGCTTATTGGGGGCTAAGAGCAGAATCTCATCAGCAAAATACTATGGACTTACCAATCATATACTTGAGAAGAGGGACACAACCGCCTGAATGTTCGCCGCCAAAAATGAATTTCACAAATTCTGCGTAGAATTCCACGGCCTCGTTCAAAGTCTTGACTCTGTCGGCACATTTTCTGTAAATGCTAGGCAGTTCAGCTAGCAGATCCACAAGCTCATGTTTTATCTTCTGACCTTGGATTCCCAACTGCTCGCAAAGTGTTTGGAAGTCCCCTCGGACAACATTATACGTCTTGGCATACTCTGCCTCCTTCTTGTCACACTCCTGATAAAAGATAAGGGAACAATTTATTTTTATTTTTGTTCACCAATTCATACAGTATCAGGCATTACATAACTGTCTTCATGTCACAATTTTAAATTCATACACATTTTCTTCATGTGAAATTTGAAGTTGTCCTAGTAGGGAGTACAAAGATGGCTGCCTTCTGGATTGTCGTGCTGTGTAATCTGGTGGAAGTTTACCAACATTCCGGATATGTTTGCTCTGGTGCCCAGTGATGAAGGCAGTAAGCATCTCTGAAACATCGATACTCTACGCAACACAAGGACCTAGAATACGGCCATCTTAAACTTTTTTAATAGTGAATAGAAGAGTACGAAACATTCACAGTCATTACTAAGTACACAGAGAACCTTTTTGTGTGTTGCTGAATGCTGTACTCAGTGTGAAGATAATTCCATACGCAAGGGATCAGAAAATGTTTCATGTCAACAAATCTTACTCCTCTGGCAGCCGTCATTTTGAGACAGAAATACTCATCATAATTTTCTGCACGTTACATCAGAGACAGTTGTCTGACACTTTGAAGAAACAGGAAATGTGTGCAATAAAATTACACTCCACAGAATATTGATCCTGTGTTCACAGATGGTATAGTCACTTCTTATGTTATGACAGTCTCCTAAGGAACACATCTGTCCTTCCCTAACAGGGGCATGGAATTGCAAAAAAAGCCCTGTTTCAACAAGACGACACCATATTGCACACCGGCAATGCCATATGTAAATCTCTTCGCAGCATTTTCCAAACAGAAATCCTTTTTGCATGCATTGCTTGTATCCCCACCCTAGCCCATCATATTTCAGGAATCAAGATCAAATCTGTAATCTGAGCAGTTGAATCACATCTCACCTTGCTGCCAGACTCCTATTTTTCACGCAATGCCCGCTTAAATTTCCCTGCGAACATTTACACACTTGATGTTTCATATAACATGACCAGTTAACTTGACAGATCCTTCTTCATCCAACATTGTTTTTGTTTTATATTGGTCAACAAGTGAAAGCCTCCAATCACTTAATTGTCTTCCCTAAACCCTTCCTCTCTGGTTTCTTGTCCGCTCAGCTATTCCCCTCCTCTAGATTTGAATACTAATGTTTGTCTCAGTATCACACAAACAGAGGAATGAAAATGAGGACCTTATGGTTGGTACAACAATGTGCATATTAAACATTATGACTTTACAGACATACATAAGTAATAAACTGTTCCAAATTCTCTCTTCTTTTGAAGTCATGTAGATATACAGTGAAGTCTTTTGGCAACCCTCGTTCCAGCATTTAATATTTTACTTAGAGGTGCTTCTTTAACTCAGTCTGTTAATTTATCCTGTGACTACGTTGCTGCAAACTCTAAGACCCATTCTTACAGAGTAAATACAAATTCTTGCATTATTTCTCTTTCTCTGTGAATCTGTGGTGACATCTATAAGAACCTCAATGCATAAATTTGTAACAATTACATTCCTGTTCCATGCTCATTTATAAACATGCATCTCCCTCTGAAAATTCTCCAGCTACTGGAAACTTTTCTAAGGGAAGTATGACTATGGATGCCTGGACAAGCATGATTTTCCACATTTTAAAGTTTGTTTTTAAAAGCAAGCATACGAAGGTTTCAGAGAAATTATGTAACTTAACATTAACACTACAAACAAACATTTTAATTGTGATCTAGAAACTTAAAATGAACCTTACCAATTGCAGTTGCTCATATTTAGCAATCTCTTTCTTCAAACTAGGTACTTCATAATTGACATTTCGTATAAGCATCTGAGCTGCCTCTGCAAGGTAAACGCTGTCCCTTTCATAAAGACGCACTATCTCTTGCCAGTCTTTCATTCTCTGAGATCCATATGACCCAAAAAAATTCTTACTATCTGCTTCAGTTTCTTTAAGGATTTCAATAATTTTCTGACAATGAAAATAGTTTATATCTGAAACAAAATTCCAAAACTAATTAATACCTTATATACAACACACACAAGTAATAGTAATCAATTGTCAGAAACTTACAGGATCCAGATAACAGCTTTGTTATGCCCACATGAACAGGCATATCTTGAATTGCATTATTAATTTTCTCCCTAATGGTTAAAATTTGTGCTTGCCACTCACGGTTGCAATGTCTTCGACTCAGTAACCAATCAGATAATTTATTTGTGTGAATGTCAATTGGTATAAACTGCTCCTGAGAAACGAAATGTATATATATTACAGTCTGTTAAAAACTCAAATTGTAATTAACACTACACTACATGACTGATTATTTCCATAAATCACAGTACTGCCTGCTTAGCTGCCACTTGGGATGATAGTCAATTACCTACCTTTTATTGAACACAAAGGTCCATTACCATGTTCACAAGAGCCCACCACCAGTATGTATCCCAAGTCTCATGAATCCAGATCTTCTGAAATGCCTCATTAAGGGTTTCCAACAAAAACATTTTATACAAGTTCAAATATTCTCCTCAAACTCTTTTCTTCCCTTGATGTACGAGTCAATACACAAAGAAGTAAAATTATGGTGTTGTATGTTTTAATCTTTACATGTTTTGAAGATCGCAGAGGGCAAAATACTGCGTCCTGCATGACAGCAGCAATCACTGAATTTCTCCCCATATTGTTTCGTTAAAGCAATTTCAACATGGCATTATAAAATTGGAGGAGTATTTTATTACACAACTTAACGCTAATAAACACGTATCACGATTACTATGGTTACAAACCTGCATTCTGTTTTTAATGAACTCAATTACAACTTAAAATCCAAAAACAATTTTCATAACACCACTAAGTACGGCCACTGATCACATTATGACACGGGGAACACATATACGATACACAGATAATACAAGCAAACCGTGATCGATAATCATTTCGATACAGTAAGGTCGGATGCAAGGAGAGTTCAGAAACTCATTCATAACTAACACAAAAATTTATCCGTGTCTATGAAATATGTCGGCGACGAAGCAATCTAATTCCCGGACGGAAGGAGGTGCGGGACTGATTAAGGTCGTTATTAAAAAGTCTAACTTTGTATTGACTTAAATACGTCTTTTATACAAGTAGCAGGTTAATTTCCCTGTTCACAATAACACCACTGTTCCTTTTCCGGAGCCAGGTGAATCCAAGCCACATTCCCATCCCAAACACTGTTTTTAAACCCTTTTTCATGTCATATGCCAATCTAATCCTCGGTCTTGAGAGTGGTGTCGACCCATTCAGCTTTCCAACCAAAATTTGGTATGCACTTCTTATCTCCCCATGTGTGCTATATGCCACACCCATCTCTTCCTCCTTGTCATATGAACAACTCACTACCATAAAGAAATTAGCATGTTACAGCTTTCTGCCAATGTATTTCACTTAACAAGCAGCTACATTATGAGGATGTTAATATTGAATGTTATTTTGAGTACAAAGAAATAAATTGCATTAGTCTGTTACAAAAGTGAATACATATAAAACAGAGATATTCGTCTTGTTTACAAATACATTGTCAAACTAATAATAAACATTTATTTCTTGCCAATGAAAGTGGATTTGATTTTAAAATTCCCACATAACCTGAAAGTTTGCTCAGATCGTAAGTCAGACAAAAATTCAACTCATCAGGAAATGAATATGGGTTAAATTTGATATGAAAGTTATACCACTAGAGTATATCCAAAAATTATGTTTCAATTTCCTGCAACTGGTAACACCAGCATGGCAAACATACAAACTTGAGAAGTGGAATAAACCCTAGCAATAGTGCCATTCAATGATGTATGGTTATACATTTTTGGATAAAACATAAACATGCAAGCAGAAATTCTTTGTACAATGTAAAATAACAACATGGAGGCTGCAAAAAAAAATCAAAATTAGGATTCAATCCAATGACCCCTGCATTAGAGTCCAGTATGCAACAACAGACCTAATGCAGATTGTGTTATATTCTTATGTTTTACATTACTGTAAGACATAACACATGATATAGAAATTGAAAGTATAACTGAAGTTACCTTTTATCAATATTCTTTAAAAGCTAACAGGCCAAGACACATATCGACAAATACACAGGCTATATATTGATCAGTAAGAAATAGTCATGGTCCTCTGAAACTACGCTGTTCTTTCAAAAATCAGTTTCTGGTAAATGAAATGATAGAGAAGGAAAACAATATTTAAAAGGTGTTCATGTATTTTGGTGAAATATGTGGAAAGTATATACAATCAAATTGCAATCTACTTGTTTCCTTTTTTAATAAGATAAGTAGGAATAAGTCTTATGTTGATGAGGCATGCTTATGTTTCTAAATTCCCTGCATTCTACTGCTGCTTTTACATGGATGAGTGATGGTAATGCTTATGCAGTATATGTATGGAAAGACTTATTTTCAGCTAGGTGCTTTTTGAAATGAGAGAACACACGTGTGTATTCAAATATGGATTACACCTTTCCTGTCCTTTTTCTATACAGGAAAGTGAACTGCAGGAATGGAAACTAATGAATAACTACCACAGTTCATGAATCAACATTGTAATTTCACAATATATTTATTGGAACCCATACTCCATTCACAGATAATATTCCAGTACAAACAGCATTATTATATCCAACTGATGTGAAGAAAGGAACCAAAGGGCTTTATCATTTATGCTGATTCTATTTTGCAACCAGTATTCAAGTCAAAACCAAACTGCACACCAACTGAAAAAAGAATGATTAGTGATAAAATTAAGGCTTCCATGCATCCAAGAAACTAGCTTAAATTACACGACTTAAGCTGTTCTGGAAGGAAGTAAATGTTATTCTAAATCCTTCTGTTAACACCAGTAAGCAAGATCCATTATCTGAAAGATGGCCAGTGTTTTATTACTGGCACATGCTAGCTAGCTTACTGTGTTATGTAACAGAAATGTAAAGAGTGTGACAAAATGTAGGATATGAGGTTTTCACGGCGGTGAGTCTGAAGATGGCCGTCTTCTGGGTTGTTGCACCATGTAGTCTGGTAGAAGTTTTCCCGACGTTTCAGAGGTCCTTGCCCTGATGATGGAGGCAGCAAGGACCTCTGAGACGTCAGTAAACTTCTACCAGACTACATGGTGCAAGAACCCAGCAGGCAACCATCTTCAGTCTGACAAAATATAATCTGATTTCAGATTTACTTCTTTCTAAAAAATACATCATTTTGAAATTACAGATAAACAGTAAGTCTGGGAATAGTGAAGCTACTTGTAATTTTTTATAGTAACAACTGTAATTTATGAAGTTTTATACAAAAACTGAAAGCAGTATAAAATTCAATTCTAGACTGAATTAAAAGTAATGTAAAATGTAACACATCTAATGCAATTATAATGTGAAACTAGCACTTTGGCATAATAACTGCACCATCTACACTAAAACACTATAAATGACATAATAAATTAATGGAGTTTGGTTTTGATGAATTTGCATACTCCTTCCACCAAACGATGTACAATATTAGGTCTGCAAAATGGAACACGTTGGTTAAAACACAGACTAGAAGATCATGCATTGTTTGTTGACTGCAACCACATGCATTAATTTCTTGGATTACAATTCTTCAAAAATAAGTGGCAAGCACATTATGTTTCTCCTATGTAATAATTTATCACCATCAGTCTCAAGAACTTGTGTTCAAGCTAACAAAGATGACAAACCATACCTACATTTCCCACTTAAAAATGCGAATTATATACATCAAAGTACTCGATGAAATCATAAACTTATGCCCAATGTGAAACGAAGTTCATACGAGTATCAGATAAAATCTTAATAAGAGCTTCAATCTACAAAATGTTAGGAACAAAAATAATAAGAATTTCATGCTTGATAGAAAACTCAATTCTTGTTAAATGCTGGTTTATACATCTACAAACAACAATGGAAACTGCTGTGTAGGATTTGAGGTTTTCATGGTCGTGAGTCTGAAGATGGCTGTTGTGCCATGTAGTCTGGCATAAATTTACCAGCGTTCCAGAGATCCTTGCTGCCTCCATCATCAGGGTACCCTGATGATGGAGGCAGCATTGGTATACTTCTACCACACTACACAGTACAACCCAGAAGACAGCCATCAATGGGAATTGGTCTGAACACTTCATATAACTGCAATGTCAACCACAAAAATGTTTTCAATCTGTAATAATATTAATAACAGTAAATATTATCCAACTAAAGAGCTTTATTATTTCAGTATCTTATGTTCACCACGTGTTTAATGTACTTCAATCTCAAACATGATGGGAACCACTGTACCAACACAAGAAGTACCTTTAAGGCTTAAAATGTCATCTTTTTAAGTATAGACAATATTATTTTTATATATTTTAACCCTAACAGATGATATGTCACACACAGTTTAGTAAAAAGCCTTTGTGTACCTCCTGAAGATGGTCAGTGTTGACCAAAACATGTAGTGACATAGTGGTGAAAAATATTTATTTATAGCTTATTTAATGACACTTTGTCAGTAGCTCAGATTATATAGCATCAGTGAAATGGAAGGGATGTGGAAGGAAGCGGTCATGGCCTAATTTAAGGCACTTCCTGGAGGGACTGAGGAAAACAATGCAAAAAACCTCAGTCAGGTTAACCAGTCTCCAGGCAAAGATTTGAACCCAGGACCTCCCGTATATGAAGGAATGTTAACCACTTGACCACAACATTTGGTAAGTGGTGAAAAGACACTGAAATAACAAAGCTGTTTACATGCATAATATTTGCTATTATTACCATAATTACAGCATTTTATAGATCAGGATGCCCTTAAAGAGTGTTTCTAATCACCTAATTGTTTTAAAGTACTAACAAAATTTTTAAAAAAACTTACATAAACTAAATAAACTGTAGAATAAATTTTATAATATTTCCATATTTTCAGTGCAGAATGAGGCATGTTTTTAGCCTACCACAAAATGCGAGTTATGAACTCGGGAGTTTCATTCCAATTACATTTATGGAACTCAGCTGCCTGGCAATAGTGCTTAGTTTGTACCTAAGAGCCAACACAGAAAAAGAAGTAACCGTATTGTTTTGAGAGTTGTATGGATTTCCATCATACGCCAGCAGTTCCATAGAAAAGCAAAACACATACAGACCCCCTCTTTTTGGTTTGTCAGCTTTGTCAGCGATCCTCATATTCACATTACATAGCGATGATTTGCAATATCCACATTTACACTTAATATAAGATTACATTTTTACTGCACAGTTCATATTAGAACAAATTTACAAGAAAAAACCCTAAAGAAAAGGCATCCTTTCATCTGATTTACAATGAAATCTTATCATCACAAAATTCTACAATACTGAGAGTAAAAAAGTTTCTCATAGGCCCTTTATAAACCCATGCATTGCAAAATAATCACATTCCATACACACTCCATAACAATGTTAACATTCACCATTATTATTATTAATCATCAATGGAATTCTGTAACTATCAGATTTCATTGTAAACTGTTTATAATAAATTAACTGGCAGTTCTCATCTAAATACGAACATAACGTGCATTCACTACAAAATATTTACATACGCAAAGCTTACTAGCCAATTTGAAACGTAACAGAAAAACACTTTTGTTACACAAGACATGGGTAGCTCTTGTTGGACAGTAGAGTCAGCCAGAATATAATAAGACAGCCGTGTATACAAGTGAAGAATACGCTTCTAATTTTATGTGTGTATATGGTTTTAAGACTAATACTGCATATATACAAAACACAATGAATCAAATCTTCACACTTCCGTCTTTGATTAGACAGCAACGTGAAGTATAATTCAAAAACTGATCAAAGAATGGGAGACACAAAAGTTCCTTTCAAAAAATCTCAAAAGTTGCACATTGTACAGAGTGACTCCCCATTACAAGGAAACTTCACCAATTGACCAATGAACTTTTGACATGGGAATGACCTGAAAACCTGCTCTGAAGTCCACTTCAAACTTTCATTATGCCCACAGAATCAGTTCACTGGCAATGTCTTTAATTAAAATTGTCCCATTTTTTGAGGTCCTTGCATTGTCATTCATACTGTCGTGACTCTCATGGAAGCTGTATTAAACTCCTGCACCTCTTCATCGAACACTTCAGTCTGATCCTCTACATTATCAATTCCACTCAGACATGATTCACTTCTCTTGGTAATGGAAGTGACATGTGTTGGAATGTGGGCGGTGGCTGTTGTTGTGGGTGGGCTGTAGTTGAAAGGCTGGACTATTGCAGAAGCCGGAGGTTTTGACATATTTTTACTATCACCAATACTGATTATTCCTTCTTCAGGAGGATCAATTCTTATAAATGAGCCTAGTCTTGACAATCGTTTTGGCTTTTCAGAATCCGTGTTTACATTATCAGATCCACCTGACTTCGTTTCACTGCGCTGTCTCCTGAGAACAACTCCCTGGGTAGGAATTTCATCTTGCTCTTTGTTCATAACATGAAGTCCAGATGTAGGCACAACCTTGCCTGCGGGTTGAGCTATAACCACACCCGTTACCTCAGCTACTTGCTTCTGCGTAACCGATGATTTTGATGATGGTTCTTGATTTGCAACAAACCTTGTCAAATCTTCCGAGCCATGACTACCCTTACTCTCACATTTTCCAGTATATCTCGATAACTTCATTTTTATTTTGGTCTTGTTTGCTTTTGCAGTTTCTATAGCAATTTTTGCATTTTGGTCAACCTCGTCATTACAGGTAGACTTGGATGGAAGCCCTTCAAAAGTTGAGCTACGAACAAGTCTAGAACTGGGTGGGAAGGCGGCAGAGACCCCAGTACCATCGTTGTCATTTCCTGCATCATCATGTGTTGTAGTGATCCACACTCTGGTATCTTTGGCAGATTTCTGTTTGCTTTTATTCTCCTCAACCCGTTTCCACAAGCTTGCAATCTTGCTTGTTATCTCTTTCCTAGTGCCAGTCTTTTTGCTGCCTGAACCTCCCCCAGATGCAACAGAATTTAAACTGCAATTACTATTAGATCTCTGAGGCTGTGCTGCTCCTTGCTTTGGAGTTGTCTGGCCACTTCCATTGCTCTGCAGACTCTGGTTACTGAGAGACGTCCTCATGGCCTCTTGTGCACCAACACTACCTCTCTTATATCCTGCCCTTGACAAAGGAGGAGACCGAGTGGTACCATTTCTTCCTGGAATTGTTGCAGCCTTTATAAGAGACCTTGGGTTTCCTGCCTGGGAACTTTTGACTAAAGCACTGCTTTCTTGACTACAGTTACTTGTGAATCTTCTCTGAGCCAGAGGTCTCGTAAGAACTGGAGATGATATTTCTTTGCGAAATTTTGTCTTTGGAGTGGTAGAATTAACAGAAAAACAAGGTTTAGTGGCACCAGAAGTCTTCTTTGACTTGGACTCATATTTAGCACTGACAGTACTAGCAGAAGCTGGAACTGGAATTCTTGTTTTTGTAGGTGAAGGTGGTGTCATTACCTTAGGTGTAATCAAACTGGTTTCATCCTTGGTGAATGTGCCTTGTCTTTCAGGTGGCTTAAACTTTGGATCTTTAACGTCGTGTTCATCGCTTTCCCTGCCAAGAGCGTGTGTGGTACCAATATTTTTCGATGCAGTTGTTTTAACAGATGGAGACGCGCCGTTCAGATTCTGTTTCTTTCCGGTCTTGCTTGTTTTTGGGCTTGTGCTGTGAGGACTTTTGATCTCCGTGGAGGATGGAGGAGTTCTAGAGACAGATCGCTTTGAGGTGCTGGAACTAGAACCCCTTACAGTCTGCTTCAAAACGGAGGCTCTCACAGATCTTGTGTTACTTGCCACTCCAGATATGATGGGAATACTACTCTGAACTTTCCTAGCAGCAGGCTGACCTGGATGTGGCACAGTTTGTTTCTTTGCTGAAGGTGATGAGTACAGAGCCTTTCGTCTTCCACGAATGGATTTAGGACTGTTACTCTGAGGTGTTCCATCATCTGTACAGTTTGAGTCAGCACTTTCATCCCTTCTAAGTTTTTCATGTGGTTTCACAATTCGTGGTCCTCTTGGTTTGGGCAAATCATCATCACCATTATCTTCCTGGAACTCTTCACTATCATCCACAGATTTCCTATCCTCTGTATCAACTTCAACCTCCTCATTCATTTTCTCCTCTACAAATTCTTCTTCTGTGTTTAATACTCCAGGCTCTTCACTAACAGAAGGCTCTCTTCCATTGAGGTCTGACCCTCGTCTCTTTCCAACCCTACAAGTGTTACAGCTTTGATCTGGCTCAGATTCAATAGAAATAAGGCTCAACGTTTCACATTCTAAGAGAATCTCATCACTGCTTGGAAGTTCAGATGATTCACTATTGTGTCGCCTTGAATCATTCAGTGTTGTGATGACAATGTTGGCATCATGCTCAAG